TTTGGTTGGCCTTGTAGCTGTTTTAAGTGCTCTATAAATAAAATGGTATGGTATGTCCAGCAACCCATCATCTGCTTACACCTCTGCTCCTCATGCCATTGTTCCTGTTTCCCTTCTGTGTTTTGCCTATCACCCATCCTTAACGAACACGTAAATACTGTTTTTATTAACCTTACCTTGCGCTATATTCTTTCATTCATTCAACCTTTATTTAAACAGATAAGTCACATTGAGACTCGAAGACTCATTTACAAGTGAGACCTGTTTGGACAGACAATAAAAGTGGTGAAAAATGACACATAGGGTTTGGAGACAAAAAAAATTCCTAACACGCTTTTAACCTCTGTTTGAAGGTCAACAGTGTGATAATGAAAATAAATCATTGGTTACGTACTGTAACCCCAGAATCTATGAGTAAAAGTGCAGCCCTTTAAGGCTATCGCTAGTGGGTTTATCCCCTTCGCGCGCAGCACTGAAAACTTTAGTCCATGCCCACCTGCTGTGTGGGCCCCACCACCCGGTCCATATCAATTATGGTGAGACTGGGTAATCGGCTCCCAAATAGCTTTTATCTTCAGCCATTTAGGAACCAGTGAGGCCCAGAGCTTAAAGGGCTGTGCCTATACTTATAGAATCTGGGGTTACAGTACATAACCAACATTTTATTTTGTATAGGCTTTGCCCTTTAAGGCTATTGCTAGTGGGTTAAAGGCGAAGCAGGATGTAGTCTATGCCTCACTGGGTCCATTCAGACACAAATGAAGCACCCGCTTGCACCAAAAAAACATTTCATCACTCAGCTTTCTGTGTGCACCATGCACAGGAGCGCCCCGGAGAAAAAAGGTCTCCAATGGGGAAAAAGGAAGGCTGAAAAGCAGACCTGCTGCTGAGAATAGAAGCAACAAAGATTACGAATTGTAACAGTGTAACAATGAACAGACCAGGCCAACAGCTCTTTAATATGAACTGATTAGTAACAATATGAACTGATTAGTAACAATAATAACAGTAGTCATGAACTGATTGATATTAAATGTCCATACTGTAATTGCATGCAGGCAGACGAGAGCTTAAAACGAAGCTCCATGAAACAAGTAAAAAAATAATTCTGTTAGAACCCTGAGAACAGAATGAGTCATGGAGAAGGCAGAAACATCATGTAGATAAAAACGAATAAACGAACAAGGCGATGACCAAGCAGCCATCGTACAAATGTCCTCCACTGTCATCCCTCCATGCAAAGCCGTAGAGGATGAAATCCCTCTGGTGGAATGAGTTCTGAGATTCTCCGGAGGGTCAAGCCCTGATGCTCTGTAAGCTTCAGAAATAGCCTCACACAGCTAGTGTGAGAGGCGCTGAGTGGATAAAGGGCGACCTGCAGAGCTGTCTCTGTAATGCACGAACAGGTAATGAGAACGACACAGTGTGGCTGTGCATGCTACGTAGCATGAAAGCGCGTGCACGGGACAGAGGAGGTGATATGTTGCTTCCTCTTCTGAATTATGAGGAGGATAATAAAACCTATTCAAGGTTATCGTTCTCGATTAAAATGAACTTGTGAGGTTTTTTAGGGATGAAAGCTGCATTAGGTCTCAGCACAGCTGAACTGCTGTCAGCTTGAATCCTGAGGCATGAAGGAGCAAGAGAGAGTGTAGATAAATCACTCACTCTCTTTGATGATATCAGAGCTAACAGCAGGGCTGTTTTAAGTGACAGAAATGTAAGCGAAACCTGATCTAAAGGCTCAAAAGGAGCTTTGATCAGAGCATGCAGGACCATCATTAGGGCTGAGTGCACGCCTCCCTGTCGGTTTATGTAAGCTGCAGTCACTTTGTTGTCTGTGTGAATCAGAACATGCTAATTCCGCAACAGGGGAGCAAAATGCTGAATCACATTCCACACCATGAGACATTCTAAAACATTTATGTGGGATGATGTGTGAGCTGGCCTCTGCACCCCCACCACTTGGGACAGACACGTTCCTCCCCAGCCTGATAGGGATGCATCTGTGAAAACTGAGACATGTGACGTAGGCCTGCTGATGGGAACTCCCTCGGACAGAATGAGGGGGTTTCCCCAGTGAGTCAGATTGGTTCTCATGGAGGGGGGCACAGAGATCATCCATCTCTTCTGATGCACCGGTCTATGCGCAGGCGGGCGAACCATCTCTGAAGGCGTCTCATGTGAAGCAGGCCCAGCGGAACCACAGCATGGGCTGATAACATAATTCCCAAAAGTCTCATGACCGATAAAGCTGTTACTACACTGTGGGGTTTGACACGGCGGAGCTGAGCTTGCAGAACTTCGGCTCTCGGTGTGAGAGTAGCACTTGCTGCAGCTTCCAAGATGGCCGCCAATCACCCCCAGCTGACGGTCATCTCCCTGATGAGCTCCTGCTCCTATATAAGCCTGCAGTCAAGTCTACTCGACGCTGGAGCATTGAGTTCCCCCGGTACTTAATGTTTCTAGCCATTTATGGGGCCGAGATGGTGTAGAGGCAGGGCAGCCGGCTTGGGACCCGAGAGTCCCAGGTTCGATCCCCAGTCACTGCACATCACGTGGCGTCTCTGGGCAGCACGTCTAATCCCCAAAATGTCCCCCGGGCGCTTTCAATAGCTGCCCACTGCACCACCTGGTGGTGGATGGGTTAAATGCAGAGACTAATTTCGCCATTGTATGGAAACATACAGTGCTGACATTGTGATGACATTATTATTATTATTATTATTATTATTTAATGTTTCATGGAATACAAGTCTTACCCTGTGATCTTGTTTCTGCAGTTCTTCGTCGCCTCCTGAGTCCAGTCCTGTTTCCACGGATTCCAACTCTCAGATCTCTCGTGCCTTGCCCAAGCTCTGATCTCTCGTGCCTATCCACTCAGTCTCTGGGAGTATTCGTCCTGTTCTGAAGTTGCTGCACAGTGCCTCCATCTCACCATCTCCTCTGGAAACTCTGGGTATCTCTTGGATCAACTCCTACAAGAACCACCAACTGTAAGATAAGAAAGCTACTTGCAAATTTATACCAAACAACTTACCTGCCCCAGCTGAACTTGTCCTCCGTTTCCAGGAGTTCCAGTCCTGATGCCTGTGCAGCCAGTTTATCACTGTAAATAAATAAACACTGTTATTTTTACTCTGAGTCTCGTGTCGTTCCGGGTCTCGTTCGATTGGGTCACTCCTGAGATATCACACTCGGCTGTGATAAGCGGTCTCTCATTGGGATTGAATTTTGCTCCACTCCCAGATAAACAATCATCTGGGACGGGAGAACCGAACTATTTTCCCAGTTTATAGAAAACCCCAGGTTTAGCAGGTGCAACGTCAACATTTTGGTTTGTGCAGCCGCTTCCTGTCTGAATCGTGTTAACAGCAGCAGTTCGTCCAGATAAAAAATAATTCTCATTCCTACCCTGTGTAACGGCTGCAGAGCTGTCTCCACGCATTTTGAGAATGTGCGTGGGGCGAGGAAATAACCGAACGGCAGCCTATTGTATTGGTACTGGATCCCCTGGAAGGAGAAGCGCAGGAATTTCCTGTGCTTTGGAATGATGGGAATGTGAACATATGTGTCTTTTAACTCAATGGAGGTAAACCAATCGTTCTGGTGAACGTTGTCCAACAGTTGTTTGATTGTCAGCATGTGGAATTGTCTCTCCATGATCGATTTGTTGAACATGGACAAGTCGAGAATGGATCTCATTCCTCCAGTTTTTTTCGGGACCAGGAAGTAACGTGAGTCAAACCCCGTGTTTTCCTCTCCGTTGGGAACTCTGGAAATTACGTTTTTTTTATCAGTAGTTCCTCAATTTCTGAGTGGAGAGACGAGTTATGTTCTGGAGATGACAGAACCGTCTCTATAATCCCTCTGAACGGTGGGGGTTGAGCTGTGAACTGCAGCGTGTAACACCTGCTGATCAGACAGTCCATCCATCTGTCCAGGTAACACACTCGTTGCCACTCTGCGTAACGCTCGGGGAGCGGACACGCGTTTTTGTGTTGTGTTATATTTTTTATGGACGTTAGGCAGGTTAAAGCCCTCGCTGCCGTCACCCGCTCCGGAGATTCTCCTGGGGGAACCCAAGGGGGACTCCTACAGAAAGGGCCATGAAAGAGCCTCTGTGCTGCACTCAAGCTGCAGGCTCATGTTAGAGTTGTTGCGAGTTGACACGCATTCAGGGGAGGTGTGAGCGCTTTTAGAGATGAGATGCCGTTTGGATGGAGGCTGCGGTTGTCGTGGAGAAACACGTTTTTACTCCCGCTGCGGTCAGAAATGTCAGAAAACAACATGGGCTCTAGCTGAGAGCGAGGGTTTTTACCAGACTCAGTCTGCTGAAAAAAATAATTTTTAGCTGATATGTGATGCAAGTGTTTTGTGTGATTTCCTGAGCTGCAGTGTCTTTTAAAACCCTGTTTTGAGGTTACCGCCTCATTTATTGTGGGGAATGTGTGAAAAGAGGCCGCTGTGAGATAATTCGATCTGACAGTCAGGCTGGAATCAGAAGAAACCTTACTCTCTGAATGATGTTTTTGTTTTATTGTAAAACATAATTCATCATCGTGCACACACACATTCCCCGCAAGGAGTCATTTTTTGTGTTGCCTCTTCCGTGGGCCCTGCAGCTGATTGGACCAGGGCAGCGTTTGTTGACAGCCTCTGGGGAAGCGCTGAGTCGCTGATTGGTGCGCCGGGAAGGGCTGTTCTCTGGCGGGAGGGGCCGGTGGAGGAGAGGGGTGAGGAGTCGCTGCTGCATCCGTGGAGCGTCTCTGCTGCTGTAGCTGGCCACAGCGATCCATCCAGCGGGCAGGAGGACAGGAGAAGGGCTGTGGCTTCATCAGGTGACACACAGTCTCCGACACCTCCACGGACTTCTTGGCCTTTTCAAGCATGGCTTTGAAGTTGGCCCCGAACAGCGCGTCCGTCATGATGGGGCCCTCCATCAGGTCCCTCTGCAGCCTCTCCAGCATGGATGGAGAGAGACAAAGCCAGGTGGACCTCTAGATCATCGTCATCCAGGCGGCAATGCGGGACAGGCACACTGCAGAGGTGACGCACATGTTCTGAATGACGTCAGCCGCCTTGCAAAGCGAACTCTTCGTCTCCTCAGGCAGGTCTGTGTCCTCCAACCTCTTCAAAATGCTGTACGCCAGCAGTGCGACATTGTTGTTCACTGCGGTCACCTGAAAAGAACACTGGTGAGCATCCGCTCTGCCCCCTCGTTCCAACACTAGGGAGTGTCCGTGCACACTCGGGAGTTGCTGAGAACGACCAGAGATGAATCCATCCATCCATCCATCCATTATCTTTACCCGCTTATTCCATTTTGGGTCACGGGGGTCGCTGGTGCCCATGTCCAGCAATCACTGTGCGAGGGGCGGGGTACACCCTGGACGGGTCGCAAGTCCATCACAGGGCCACATAGAGACAAACGAGACAAACAACCATTCACTCTCTCACTCACACCTAGGGACAATTCAGAGTTACCAATCAGCCTAACATGCATGTTTTTGGTCTGTGGGAGGAAACCGGAGCACCCGGAGAAAACCCACGCATGCACGGAGAGAACATGCAAACTCCACCCAGAAAGGCCCCTGGACCGGGGTTTGAACCAAGGACCTTCTCGCTGAGAGGCAGCAGCTCTACCAGTTGCGCCACCGTGCTGCCCAGAGATGAATCCAGAGTCCTGAAATGATTACAGAATGTTTATTCAGCTGGGTTCCTCTGAAAAGTTCTTGGAAATTCCTCAGTAAGAGGGGAGGGAGGGGATAGAGCATCAGGTTTACAAAACCTTCCAGGCGGGTTGAGAAAAGATGGCCTGTCAAGGCCAGTTAGGGAGCAAAATTCAGATAAACACAATTGTTTTGGGGACAGGTAGAACTTTAATGACATCTACCTTGAGTCTGTGTCGGTCCTCTTGCTTTTGAAACGTCCACATTAAATGACTATACCAATGGAACATGCCTGAGAATAATCCCCAAGATTTGATCCATTCTGCCAAGAGTCTGGGTGCTCGAGGCATGAACGAAGCCATAATATAAGGCAGGCAGCCTGACCAGGTCCAGATTTGCTGCCGACGACTACCTTGTTTGTTGATAGACCAGGAACCAGACAAATCCAAAAAGCAGGAACCAGTTATCATAAATCCGTTTATAAATGTGTCCTTAAAATCCACAGATGACAGCGGAGATAAACACGTAATCAAGTCTTCAAAGTCGATGAGATATCTAGCCGTGTGCATGCCAACAGGGCAAATCGACTCGCCTAAAGCCTGTATTCTCATCAAAGAAATGTTATCAATTGTGTTGAGGGACCAACTGATCAAATCCAAGTCCATAGTTATGATTCAGAAGATTTGTAGAAGATAGGCTCTAAAGCAGTTTCACAGACAGACAGAGCAAAAACAAAGCAGAGAGGAAGAGGGGGAGACGTCCGCCCTTGAGAAGAGCAAGTGTTGAATGAAATATCTTGTAAAGTAACCTCTATAAATAAGGTTGAATGAATGAATGAATGAATGAAAGTCAGTTAATTTTCCGGACAGGTATCCCGAGGGAAAATCAACCTGGAACTACAGATGGGCTGTATCCAGTCAGAATGGAAGTTGTCTGACATCATGTGAAAAGGGCCTATAGGAGGTACAACTGCACCTACATCTGGACCTGCCATTCTGTTTGTCTGTTTCTCCTTCCTGTCCTCTCAAACCCAACCAGTCGAAGCAGATAGCCTCTTGTCCTGAGCCTGGTTCTGCTGGAGGTTTCTTCCTGTTAAAAGGAAGTTTTTCCTTTCCACTGTTGCCTTTGTGCTTGTTCAGGATGGGAGACTGTTACGAAGTGAAGATTCAACACAAGTTGCTGCATCCTTAGATAACTTTTACTTGCTGGCTTTTTATGTATGTGAATGTTTCTGTTCAGTGCCCTGAGATGATTTCAGTTGTGACTTGGTGCTTTAAAAATAAACTGAATGGAATTGAAGCACTAGACAGAAAATTAGTGAAAGAGCCAAAGTTCAAGAAAAACATTGTAATCCAGAAAGCCTGGAGAACTACTGATCAAGACCACTTTAAATGAGAATTACGAAGTCTGGTTTATTAAACACAAACTATAAGAGGAGGTTGAAAATATTTACATGCAGTTCCTCAAAAATTGTTCCAGTCCAGATGGAAGCTGATCACGGATTTGCAAAAGACAGGTAAACTGACCTGCTGGTGTTAGAGATCTCATGGTTTCGACTTTTAAAGAAAGAGATAATTGCAGCTCAATGTTTTAATTCACCATTTATTTCCATACACAAACACAATGAGGGTTAACTAACAAATTACACGTAGTACACTTTAAAGTGGAGGCAGAGCAGTTTTAGTAGTAGATTCAGATAAAATCATCTAATTATTATTTTTTTACTTGTTGAACTATTTACATAAATAACATTTTTCCCTGTTCTCTCTGTAAGGGTGTGGTTTTCAACATTCTTAAATGTGTTTGCTAATCACAAACCTCTGATTGGGTGGAATATTTGTACATGTACATTTGGGACATTAAAAACCCACACAACGTGCACAGATCATTGAAAGACTATCGGACAAAAACACAGTGACTCTGAGGTCATCAAAAACAAAGTATTGCACATGTTTATCTTGAGAGTGCACCCTTAAGAACTAATATTTAACTTTCATAACAGGAACACCATCCTTTATTGCTCCTTAAAAAAATAATCAAAGACAGAACAACGCCGTCATCTAGGAACAAATCATTCGTTTTGAAGCATCTCAAGAAACCTGCAGCATTTACAGTTTAATTCCTGGAAAGCTGCAAAGTGTGCCTCATTCATAAAAAAACTATATTCATAATTCAGCTCAAAACATAAACAGCTGACTCAGCATTAGTGCTTCGAGCCTATGTACTAGACAGAGCAACGTATCATGAGACATGTGCAGCCTTAAAGCTGCTTCAGACACCCAGTTTTACATCTGACTCTGCCAGTCGTGTAAGAATGTGATCTCGTGGTGTGCCGATGTGATCAAAAGGTTGAAATGTTTCAGCCTTAGACTCCATCTTCATTTCACCATTTCTGTTCAGAGATTCAAAGTACAGGATTTTACATTTATTCTTCAAAATCAGGTTTCACTGCACAACTCAAGGACAGCTTGTTCAAACAAAGCAAATCCTGTTTTAATATGATGCAGGTGTGCATCCCACTCTGTAGATTGATGTCATATGTACCCCATAGTTTAATACTAACTATGTAACTTGGGTTCTACTTAAAAAGTTCCCAAAATATGTCAAGTTGCTTCTCTGAGCTAAACTGCCAGCCAGAGACAGCGAGTTTGGTCAGTCAAGGAATTCTGCATAATAAAAACTATTACAAAAAAATTATCATAATCCATCTGAACTCCAGCCTCAATCTGAGAGTTAAGGAAATGTTTGCTATTAGCACCTATTTTGAAGTAAAAACTTGGTGCGGCTCCTCAGATGGTTCAATTAAATAAGACGTTCAAGATTTCAGTTTTCTTTTTGTCCCATAATCTGGGAGCTCTCATACAGTGCATGCTCATTGCTTTGGATGCTTAAAAATGTACAAAATAAATAAGTGCTACACAAGCTTGGAAAACGATGTGAACTTCTTGGACAACATGCGAAAGAAAATCTTTGAAATTAGTGAATTGGAAGAATTATGAGCACGCACTTTAAAGCACAGAATGCCTCGGCGCTCAACGTCTACCAACAAAAATAAGAGTTCATAGTCCTATACGTCACAGATTTACAAAAACTAGATGCATAAAAAAATAATAATGTTAAAAAAAAAAAAACATAAAAAATGACAAAGACTGCATGTATTTGGTACGAGAGCTCAACCAATCCTGGGAATTAAAAACAGTCCATCACATTAATCAGCCCATATCCTTTGCTGACCACATTTTCTTGCGCTTGGCAAACTGTAGCAGCTGCTGCCGTGTTTCTGCAGCGCAGGTGCTGATGTTTCATAATCTATAAACTGTAGACCTCAGATTGGATTCAGACTGAAGAGTCAAATCTGCAGAGGTGAGAAGGCGTAAAATGGAAACTGGGCCTCGTCTTCGTCCACAAAGAAACACTGGAAGTACGGCAGCTCCTCTGTGCAGGAAAATCAAAGAGTTACTTCACTTTTTTTGTTCTGACAGTGATGCTATCTGAACCGTTCTGTAAGAGAATATTCAACTTGCCTTCCATGAAAACGCTCTCAGGAGGCTTTTCTGCAAGTAAGAGACCCAAGTGTTAAGACTAAAATGAATTATTTAGACTAAAATCACAGCAAATAGTCTGTTACCTTCAAACTTCTCCTGTTTGGCAGCTTTCTTTTCAGCAGACTTTTCTGCAACAACATTGTGTAGGAATAAACAAGCTGCAGTGATGTGCACATTTTACACAGAATAGTTTTAAAGCCGTACCTTTCTTTGCAGATTCTTGTATCTCCTTAAGAACTCTGTGTTCTGCAACAGGCAACATCCAAAAATATTTATTTTAAAAATGAACTCATTTTTGTTTATTGTTACGTTATTGACTGTTCAAAATCTTTATTTCAACGGTGATGCCTCGTTTTACCTTTAGCTTCCTTTTTTAATGTTTTCTTCACAACAGTTTTCTCTAAAAAACAAACAGTTTTTACACTATTATTACAAAAAATATTCCTTATCTGCAGTATGTAGTTTGATTATTCATCACAAGCAACTTTTATTTCCATTACACATTAGTTGCTCCATTAATCGTTCAGTTAAGTCATAGAAAACAATGAAGAAAATACTTTTTAGTAAAAGCCATGGAGGTAAGTTGATCTTATGTCTTCATTGTAAGGTATTTTGAAAGTTCAGCGTATTTAAACTGTGTGGCACCGGCTTCAGGTGTTTACAGCTAGATGTCCAAAGATCCTTGTAGTTAGTTTAAAATATAGTTATAAACTGTAAATTTAGCTTATCAGGGACATTAATAAATACTCTCAGCCCTCAAGATCAGCAAGGTTACAATTATCAGCAGCTATAACAACTCTTGAATGAAACCAGGATGATGAGTTACGACAACACTTTTATATATATATATATA